TGGGCGGCCCAAGGTGAGGGGCGCCGCCGCCGCTCCGGGTCCGGGCGTGCAGGCGCAGCGCGACGGCCTCCCGCCCCGCTCCCCGCCGTCCCCCAGGAGCCTCCCCGCCGGCACTCACTGCGCTGGGAACCCCGCGCTGCGGGCCGGGCCCTCTCAGGCCCCGGCAGTGCCGGCGGTCTGGCCATTGTGCGGTGCATTGTGGGAACCGCACGAGCTGGCCGCTCGGATCGTGGAGGGGGCGGTGCCGCGGGCTCTCTATGGTCCTGCCCGCAGGCTAGAGCGGCCCGGGGCGGTGCGCGAGTGGCGCACGGGGAGTGCCGGGAGCGGGGCGGCCGCTGGCGCTCCTCCCTTCCTCGTCCCTTCCTCCCTCCCTCCCTCCCGCCCGAGGCGAGCTCCGGCCTTTGCCGCCGAAGTGGGCGCTGCCGCGTGGGCACGGCCGCCCGTGCCTCTGTGGGCGTCTCTCCTGCTGCTGTTCTTGCTGCTCCGGGGGTCGTCGGTGGGCTCCTGGGACCTGGCGGGTTACCTGCTCTACTGTCCCTGCGTGGGTAAGGCCTCCCGTGCCCTCTGCTCAGATGGTGAAACTGAGGCCAGGAGAGGGAAGCCACGCCTCTGAGGCGCCCAGAGACAGCCTGCTAGGCCCAGGAGAGACCTCCAGAGCGCGGCTTGGCCCTAGTTGCATGGGTACAGAGGGGGCTACTGGTGTTCGACTTGCCGTTTGACGGATGACAAAACTGAGATTGGAAGAGGTTGTGTGACTCGCTCGAGATCCTCGTCGACTCGGAGTTTGTAGGCCAGGACTTGATGCCCCTGTCTTGAATCGCCGTCCCCTGGCAATTCTTTCATTCATTCAGAAAATATTTATGTCGCACCTTTTCTGTGCCAGGCGCATGTTCACTGTGCTGGTGGGACTAAGACAGAGAAACCTCATACCTTTATAGACCCTTCGTTTTAGGAAGACACAATAAAAAAATAAAAAAGAAAAACTTTAAACAGTGCATAATTTCGTAGATGATAAAAGTTATGGGAAAATAAAAGATATTAAGGACTCCTAAATCCGTTGAGGTGTACAATTTAAATAGAGTAGTGGATCATCATAAGTCATTCTTAGCCTTTCAGTGGCTTGCATACCTGACCATGGCCTTCACCTTGCATGATCTGGTCCCTCTCTGGTCTTCTCCACAACCTTTTCTCTTTTGACCCTTCAGTTATGGCCACACTTACTTGCTTTCTGTTCCTCACACACACGCAGATCCATGAACTAACTACTCCTTCCTAGAACACCCAGGCCTTCCAATTTTTTTCTTTTTCTTTTTCTTTTTCTTTTTTTTTTTTTTTTTGTCTTTTTGAGACAGGGTCTCTCTGTAGCCCCAGCTGCCCTGGCCCTCAGTATGTAGACCAGGCCAGCCTTGAACTCACAGAGATCCGCCTGCCTCTGCCTCCCAAGTGCTGGGACTAAAGGCGAGCACCACCAAGTCCCACCCAGGGCTTCATTTCTGCCCCACTCACTCATCCTAAGTCTTGCCATACATCTCGCCAAAGAGGACACCATTGACCTCTGCTCAGATAACCTTTTTTTCAAGGGGGGTTTTTTGAGACGGTCTCCCTGTAGCCCCAGCTGGCCAGGCACTAGCTATGTAGATCAGGCTGGCTTCAATCTCAAAGAGATCTGCCTTCCTTTGCCTCCTGAGTGCTGGGACTAAAGGCCTGCACCAACATGCCTGACTCAAGTAACCTCTTTATTACACTCCAGCAAACTTTTAAAATTTTTTCTTGAAATTATCAAAATCTATCGGAATAAATATGTTTTCATGTTTAGTGTCTCCAGTATGACCTGAGCACCTTCAGGGTAGAGATTTTGTCCTTATTCCTGTATTCTGACAGCACAGAATCTGGCTCACAGTAGTCTTTGAGTAATATTTGTGGAGTGTATGAATCAATGACATGTTGAAGATAACAAAAAGAATCAGACAGGTCCTTGCACCTGAGGTGTTCACAAGCTGAATAAACAGCCAGTGTGAAAAGTCAGGAAGTGAAAAAAAGACACTTGAGGGAAAAATGACAAATATAAATGGCTCAAGCTGTGGGTCTAGCTCGTGGTAAAGTGTTTGCCTAGCATGAATGAGGTGCTCAGGTCAATCCCCAGCACCAATAAAAATCTTGTTTTAGACTGGGCATGACACATGCCTATAATCCTACCATTCAGGAGTCAGAGGCAGGAAGATCACCAGGAGTTTGAGGACAATCTGGTCTACATAACAAGTTCTAGGCCATCCAGGACTACATAGACCCTGTCTCAAAATAAGAGCCCAGCATGGTGGTACACACCATTAATTCCAGCACTCAGGAGGCAGAAGCAGGCAGATCTCTTTTAGATTGAAGCCAGCCTGATCTACATATTGAGTTCCAGGTTAGCTGGGGCTGTGGAGAAACCCTGTTTCAAAAAGGCCAAATAAATAATAACTCAAATCCATGGTTAGAGCAGGCAAATTGGATAGGGGTTGATGAAGGGGTCTTAGTGAATGAGACATCAGAATCACCCTTTCATGTGCAAGTAAATGGAGAGATGGAAGAGCACTCCTGGCAAAGACAGAAAGCAGAGTAAGAATAATAGAGTATGTTGAAATAGCCAGGAACCTGAAGTGGCTGAGGCAGAAGGGGCAGGGCCTACAGGACCTTGAATGTCAGAACCAGGACTCTAGACTTGCTCTTATAATGCCAGCTCTTCCAGCTTACCTTGGTGACTTGACCCTTCCCAGTCCTGGATCCACATCCTTTCTAAGCCCTCCATAGACCATGCCATCATTGCCCTCAGGCCCCTCCACCCTCAATGTACCATTTCTAGGACACTTTGGGAACCAGGCTGATCACTTCTTGGGCTCCCCGGCATTCGCAAAGCTGTTGAACCGTACCTTGGCAGTACCTCCATGGATTGAATACCAGCATCACAAGCCTCCTTTCACCAATGTGAGTACTTATGTCAACTGTGTCCCCTATGCACCCTTCCCCAGGCTTGCTGACTTATGCTTGACAAGACTTTCCCTCCACTCAGTTGAGTTTGTCCTATTCTCTGCACAGAATTGTCTTCCTTAAAATAGCAATGACTAACTTATCCAACACTTGCCTATGCTGGCACTGCATGAGGATTAGCTCGTCTTTCCCACAGCTCATCCTTGAGAAAATTGGGCTTTAGAGAGGTTGGGCAACTTGCCCAAGATCACAGTCTATGGTTAGTAGGACTGAAATTCAAGCGCAGGGCTCTCAGACTCCCAGAGCCTATGGCTTGAACATAAAGCCTCCATTTCTACCCCACCTTATGTATATCCCACTGGTCAGTTATAAGTGATGAATGCTATCAGTTTTAAAAGAGAAACTGAGGCATGGATTACTTAATGATATGTTCAAAGCCACAGACCCAGGCAGTCTGGCTCCAGTGCTGCCTCTCATCCCATCAAGGGGCTCCCTATGCATGATGCCAGTGTCCTCTGGTATCTAGATCATTCATTGTATCTTCTAATGGCCCTGTGTTTCTTTTTGTTCACACTGTGTCCCCAGGGATCTGGAAGCAGGAAAGTAATATTTAATGAATTGACTTAAAAAGTTTAAATTAAAACGAAACAGTTTAAATAAACCAAATGTGGTGGTATACATATTATTTGTTTATTTATTTATTTATTTATTTATTTATTTATTTATTTATGTCTCTTTGAAGCAGGGTCTCCCTGTAGCCCCAGCTGTCCTGGAACTCACTATGTAGACGAGGCTGGCCTTGAACTCACAGAGATCTGCCTGCCTCTGCCTCCCAAGTGCTGGGACTACAGGCGTGCACCACCATGCCCAGCTAATATTTTATTTATTTTTTATTTTATGTCTATGAGTATATTGCCTGCATGTTTGTAAGTGCATTCGTGTCATGCAGTGCCTAAGGAGATGAGAAGAGGGTGTTGGATCCCCTGGACCTGGAGTTACAGGTGGTTTTTAGCCATCGTGTGGGTGCTAGGAATCAAACCTGGGTCTCACAGAAGAGCATCCAGTGCTCTTAACCACTGAGCCATCTCTCCAGCCTGGTGGTGTACATATTTAATTCCAACACTCTGGAGGCAAAGGCAGGTGGATTTCTATGAGATCAAGACCAGCCTACTCTACATAATGACTTCCAGGATAGCTGGGACTATAGGAAGACCCTATCTCAACTCCCCCTCCCACCCAAAAAAAAGTTTAGATAGCTATCAAAATTATGCTTAGTCTAAACAAAACACAGCATTTTATTTATGCCTTTTTTCTGCATTGGTTTTATTTTCTATTTTTCATGCATACCTGTATTTAGAAAGCCTCCCCCGTTCTCCCACTGCTAGGGATTGGCCCCAAGGCCTTGTAAGTGCTAGGGAAATGCCCTACCACTGAGCTGCACCCCTAGCCCTGGAGTACTTATTAACAGAAATTAAAAGCCAGAGAATGTGAGACTACAACTTGGCCACTTCCTAATTATGTGACCTGGTCAAAGTACTTAAACCTTTCTGTGCCTCAGTTTCTTCATCTTTAAAATAGTCTGTAATAACTGGCTACCTCCCCAGTGAGGACTGAATGAGCTACTGACAGTAAATGCCTGGAATGTGCCCCATGCCTCCCTGTTAGAATCAGCTGAGTCCCTCAATATGAAGACCCCAGGACATGGGAGGTCCTCAGCTTCTGGGGTCCACTGATCTCATTTTTTTGCCTTCACTGTATAGTGTAGGTGTTGCTCATCTATCTGGTTGGTTGTATCCTCACCATCTCAGTCAGGTGTCACAGGGTCTCCACTTTCTTGCTTTTTATGGGTTTCTCAACCTGCCCCAATTGAGCTTCCCTTTCCTAAGTGACCATTCATATTGAGGTCACCAGGGACCTCAGGATTGCAAAATCCAGGTTTGTTTCTCTTTCGTGTCTCACCTGACCAGTGGCCCTTGGCCTGATGAGCGTTTATTTTCCCTAAACATCCCTCTTCTCCTGGCTTCCAGGACATTGCCTATTCCTGCTGTAGCCCTGGCCTCTCAGCAAGGTCCTGTTTTTTGTTCCCTCCTGGGATCTGCTCTCTTCGCCCACTGTTCTGCCGAGGGTGCTTGTCCTTCCTCTGTTTGGTGTTAGCTCTGTGGCCTCAGATGAGTCAGATGACCAATCCTTGTAAAAAGATGAGTGCAGCACCTGGCACTAAGTCAGCACTCCATGAATAGTAGTTGCTGTTATTACCATTACCTTGCTTTGCTCTAAGTTTCTTTTGACTGTTGTGGCTCTCACTATTCACTTTATACCTTCAGTGTATCTGGCACAGACTCTTCTCTGACTACAGGCTGGTGTGTCTTACTGCTAAATACTCAAGTCTACTTAGATGTCACAGATATCTCAAATTCACAAAGCTATAAAACCACCCTTCCCCTCAAACCTGTGTCACTATCTATAAAGCATAGACCATCTCCACTCACATGGGGACCAAGCCAGGAACCTAGATTTCATCCTAAATGCCTCTCCTGAATATACACTCAGCTCTCAAACCCTAACCCGAATCTTCACCTTCTTTTGCATCTTGTACCTGTCTAGACCACTTCATCTCTCACTTAAAAGTGTGGGAGGTACACATTAAATGCATAAATACATGTATAAGAATGCTGGGTGTGGTGACTCATGCCTGTCATCTCAGCACTTGAGAAGCTGAGGCAGGAGGCTTGCTGAAAGTTTGAGGCTAGCCTGGGCTACATATATAGAGAGCGCTATGTCCAAAAATTTATTTAATTTTATTTATTTTATTTTTAATGTATATGAGTGTATTGCCTGCATATGTGTAAGTGCACCTGTGTCATACAATGCCTGAGGAGGTCAGAAGAAGGTGTTGGATCTCTGGAACTGGAGTTATAGATGGTTTTTAGCTGCCATGTGGGTACTGGATATTGAACCTGGGTCCTCTGTAACAGCAGCCAATGCTCTTAACTGCTGAGCCATCTCTCCAGTCTGTCTCCAAAATTTTTTAAATAAAAATAAGTGACTAAGGAGCTAGAGAGTTGGCTCAGCGGTTAAGAGCACTGACTGCTCTTGCAGAGGACCCGGGTTCGATTCCCAGAACCCACATGGTGGCTACGAACTGTCCTTAACTCCAGTTCCAGGGGAATCCGAAGCCCTCTTCTGGCCTCCACAGCATTGCACGACACGGGTGCACTCATGTACATGCAGGCAATACACTCGTACACAGAAAATAAAAATAAATAAAATATTTTAATCTTAAAAAAGACTAGCCAGGCACAGTGGCTTTTAGTCCCAGCGCTTGGGAGGCAGAGGCAGGCGGATCTCTGTGAGTTCAAGGCCAGCCTGGTCTACATAGTGAGTTCCAGGACAGCTGGGGCTACAGGGAGACCCTGTCTCAAAAAGACTTTTAAAAAAAAAGGGGGGGGGACACTAAATAATTCATTATTGAACAAAAACAAGGAGGATTGCAAGTAGCCTACTAATTCCTCTCCCTTCTCTAAATCTTGCCTGATCAGTACATTTTCTTCTCCGTCACCAGAGCAATCCTTCAGAAAAGGCAAATCTTACTAGGCATGATGATGCAGACCTATAATTCTAGCACTTGGGAGTCTGAGGCTGGAAGATTATAGGTTCAGGGCCAATTGGGACTAACTACATAACAAGTACCAGCCTCTTCAGGGCTGTATAATGGAACCTTGTCTCAAAAAAGGGGGGAAATTTCATATTTTTTAAAGTCCTTCAGCTGGGCTAGCTAAATATGATAATGGCTTGTGCTTATCTCTTACAGGTGGACAGCTAAGTATTCAGGAATGAAATGGTGTATCTGATATGTGCTTTAAACTAGTCCAGTTTTAACCAGCATGGTGGCACAGGTCATTAGTCCGAGCACTCAGGAGGCAGAGGCAAGCGGATCTCTGTGAGATCGAGGCCAGCCTGGTCTACATAGCAATTTCCAGGCCAGCTGGGGCTTCAGGGAGACCCTGTCTCAAAAAAACACACAAAATCCTTCAGCTGGACCAGCAAAGTGGCTCAGTGGGTAAAGGCACCTGCTGACACAAGCTTGACAACCTGAGTTCCATCTCTAGGACCCACATGGTAGAAGGTGAGAACTGACTCCCACAAGTTGTCCTCTGACTGCCACACATAAACTGTGGCACACACACACACGTACACACACTAATATCTCACTGCTAATAGGGTACCCATAGTCTGTTCATTGGAATACCAGTTACCTATGCAGAAGGACACTGTGGTTAAATGAGCTTGGAAAATTATATTTTCAATTCCCCTTTGTCCCAAACTTGCAGATTCAGAATGTACAGTTGCATGGTAAAGGCCCTGAAAAGTCCTGCTGCAGTAAAGAAACCAGCTTAAACAATATCTCCTAGGAGTTTTTAGTTCTGAAATACCTTTATTGCACCTGAGCTACTGGGACATGCCTAGGAAACTGACCTATAGAATGAAATTCAAATTTTATTCCATGGTGTTCTAAGAATATTTTAAAATCAATTTGCTTTTTTGTTTGGCTTGTTTTAGTTTTTTGAGACAGTCTCATGTAGCCCAGACTGACCTCAGACTTGCTGTGTTGCTAAGAATGTCCTTGAATTCCTGATCTTCCTGCCTCTACCTCCAAAATGCTGGGATTTACAGGTGTGCGCTACACCTGGCTCAGAATTTTTTTCAAAACCTAAAATATTCTGAGTTTGTATATAACTGCTGTCACAAAGCTACCTGGCTACAAGTGGTCGTCGTGAACACATTCTCTTCCTTCTCAATTCTTCTTGTCTTTTTTTTTTTTTTTTTTTTTTTTTTTGTTTTTTTTTAACAGGGCGGGCCTTTAACCC